AACTTTCGCGCTCACGTGGTGCCCCAAAACACCCCGGGTTACCCCAAAATAACCGGAATTTCCCCAAAATGCTGCACCCCAAAACTGCCTCAAATTATTGCATGCACGTGATGCCCCAAATTATCCCAAACTGCCCCAAAATGATGCACCCCAAAATACCTGAAAACGCCCCAAACCGCTGTTCACGCTGCGCCCCCAAACCCCCTGAATTATCCCAAAATGCTGTGCCCCAAAATACCCAAAATTGCCCCAAACTGCTCCTCACGCCGCGTCCCAAATCCTCTCGATTTACCCTAAAATCCCCTGAATTGCTCCATAATTTTCTGCTCGTGTGCCACCCCAAAATACCCAAAATTGCCCAAAACGCTGCTCAGGCAGCACACCCCAAACACTCCATTTACCCAAAAATCCCCCAAATTTCCCCAAATTGCTGCACTCATGCAGCGCCCCCAAACTCCCCGAGTTACCCCAAAATACCCTGAATTCCCCCAAAATACAACAGCCCCAAAATACCCAGAATCGCCTCAAAGTTGCTTCAAATGTTCCCCTCATGCTGCTCCCAAAAACGCCTCAAATTCCCCCAAAACAGCCGCGCTCCCGCGGCCCCTCCGAGTCCCCCCAAATTCCCCCAAATCCCACCTGGAATTGCCCTAAAACTGCCCTCACGCCCTGAAATCCCACAAATCATCCCTAAATTTCCCAAATGTTGCCAGAATTATCCAAATTTCCCCGGAACACCCCAAAATCTGGGGTCTCACGCCCACCTTTGCTGTGCCCGGGGTTGTGCCCACCCCAAGACCCCCTGAGACCCCCTTAGGATCCTCAACCCTGGGGCCACCAGGGCCACCCCAGACCCCTCTGGGACCTCCCAGGGACCCCCCAGGGCCACCAAGAGACCACCCAGGGCCACCTCAGCCCCCCGACCATGGGACATGTCGGGGAGTCCCTGGGGGTCACCCCTTGTCCCCAGTCCCCCTCATCCCGCCATTCCCACGCCCCTTCCCAAATTTTTTTGGTGCCGTTTTTGTGACTTTTAGCCCCAGGATGGGGCTGGGGGGTCCCGGC